AGAGAGAGGGGGGGGGGTAGAACAGAGTCGTGAGCAAGATACATACAGCAAAATTGTAAAAATAGAAGTTCCAGGTCTTGGATCTAGAAAAATGCCCAAGAACCCACAGAGATGACGCCAGCTAAGACCCTAAGCAATAGAGGAGAAGGTGTCTGAATTGGCCTTACTCTGTCGTCAGACTGATGATTATCTTAAATATCACCATAGAACCTTCATCCAAAAACAGATGGGAACAGAGGCAATGACCCACATCGGAGCACAGGACTGAGTTCCCAAGATGCATTTGAAGAGTGGAAAAAGTGAGAGTATGAGCACGGAATTCAAGACCATGAAGGGGTCATCCACTGAGTCAGTTTGCTTGAGCTAATGGTAGCTCACCAACTCCAACTGGACTGGGGGTGAACAGGCATGGGAACAACCAAGTCCCTCTGGGGTAGACTAAGGGGCCACTGATAGTGACACTGGGATGTGTCTCCACTGCATGTATTGACTTTATTTGATCATATTCTCTTCGGATGTAAACCTTGTTCACTCTCTTAGGGTTGCAGGGGGTGGGGTGGAAGGGTCTGTGGAGGGGGAGGAAGGAGACTGAGAAGAGAGGAGGGAGTGGGAATTTGGATTGATATTTTTTAAGTAACAATAAAAAAAAGGGAAAAAAAGGATGAGTGGGAAACCACAATCACTGGAAATAAAAAAAAATCCACAAAAAAAAAGAAGTTCCAGGTCTGTCAAACACAAAACATGAAGTTTTTCTTTGCTCTATTAGTCCATGGAATATCTCCCAGGAATTCATGACATGAACTTGGAAGAGTCGGTGCTTTATTAAGTTGGCATGCTCTACTATGAGTCTCTGGTTAGCATGCTCGGAATTACAATTCTTCATTCCCTTGCCTTTGTTTTCTTTTAACTGGTTCTACAGAGGAAGCTCTCAGCCCTTTCTGTCTTATATCCTAGTCAAAATTAAACTTATCATTGTATCATTATTTCCTTACCTATCTATCATCTATCTGTTTATTTACTTTTATTCATTCATTCATTTATCTGTTTTTGAGGCATAGTTCATTTTACATAACACGAATTAGTCTTGAAATCTCAATGTAACTTAATGTTTGCATTTCTTATTCATTGCTTCCGTTCTCCACCACATCTGGTTTTATAAAACACTGAGGATCAAAGAAAGCTTCATTCTTCCCAGCAACAACCGAGTGACATCCTCAGCTGTGTACCAACTGCTTTACATTCCCACCTGTATGTTTTCTTTTGTCCAATTACAGCTAATATGTTTGTTAACTATCTTTCAGTGTGTATTTACAACTGAATCATCATTTCCTTAGACATGTATCCTTACAACCCTAATAAAAACATACTTATTAGTTCTGAGACTTGTTCCATGTGTTTTGCATTAATATTAATATTAATCTGAAAAAGTAAAGCTTCTTTTAGAATACTATTTCTGAGTGGTAGGGTGAGTGAAAATTAGCTATGGGAATTTAGAACTAGAAAGTATCTTAGAAAATGGCTTAACATCTTCATTTCTTAAAATAGGAAAGCTTGTGAGGCCCCAAATAATTTAGTGGAAAAGTCAGAGCAGTAGGGGCTGGAGAGACTGCTAAGTGATCAAGAGTTGTCACCACTCTTGTAGAGAATCTGGGTTTGGTTCTCAGCACTCCCATATGGCACTTCACAACTGTCTGTGACTCAATTGCGGGGTATCTCCTACCCTCTTCTGGCCTCTGTGGGCATCATATGAACATTGAGCACACCCATACATGGAGTCAAAATATTCATACACATAAAAAATAAAAAGCCTTAAAAAATCATAGCAATACAATCATTTATGCAAGAGGGCGCAAATCTACTATTGCTGTTAGTGGACTTTCTGTATTCTCCCCTTACACGTTTTTGTCGCTACCTGTTTTAATTACCTTCATTATTGCACACTTTAAATTATGCATTTAAATATTATATCATCTTTTATGCAGCCTTAATACGAGACATATGAACTTTGATTTTTTTCTCAAATAACAGTATTTTAAATAATAATATATATACATATTTAAATGTTATTAAATATCTGTGCAAGGCATGTTCTTTTTAAGTTCTGCTCTTTACAGGGTATGATTCTGGATGTCGTTCAGTGAAGCTTCTGTTGTTAGTAGCGTATTCCTTTCTTTCTTGACCTTGTCTGAGTTGGAAATCCTGAATTTTATCTCAAATTTTTGTTTTGTTTTTTTTCAAGACAAGGTTTCTCTGTAGCTTTGGTGCTTGCCTGGAACTAGTTCTTGTGGTCCAGGCTGGCTTCAAACTCACAGAGATTCTCCTGCCTCTGCCTCCCGAGTGCTGGAATTAAAGGCATGAACCACCACCTCCCGGCTCAACTCAAGGTCTGTATGAACCTCTCTAGTTTGTATATTCTGACGTTGCTTTATATCTACAGTGAAGAACTGAATGATCAAGATTCAGATGGTTGTGGATGTTTTGGTTGTAGCAGGTTAGATATTCTACATGCATAAATACCAGGGTTATCATTTTGTGGAACAGTTACAGAAACAAAGACAGCGAAGCTGACAGATACCACTGGTGTCAGCAATTCTAGTAGAGTTTAAAAGGCATGAATTTATACATGGGTTAGATGATAATATGTGCATCAAGGAAAGTCAGTGGAATAAATTTTACAGAATAGATTTTAAACTCATATACCATACTATTTAGATGCATAAAATATGGGTTTTTATTTTGCATCTGTCTTGGTGCTAGGGAAGTATTTTCTCCTGGAGATCAGTCTTTGGCTATAAAATTAACAAAAACTAAAGTCAAATTTGTTACGCATCAAATGATGTCCTTGAATTCCTGATACTTTTATACCTACCACGGTGCTGAGGATCACACCCATGGCTTCATACATGCTAGGCAAGCACTGTATCAACCTTTCTAGATCCTCAGTTTTATTTTCTGGATTGGAATTTGTGTCTATGACTTTAACATTATTGGAAGAATTTCCAAAGATAGTGTGGCTTATATGAATCAAATTCAATTTTTGGGAAATTAGAGCTCACTGGTACCTCTGGAAATCTCCAAACATCTCTAGTGCAAGTATTTTTTCTAAGTTAAATAAGCACGTATGAAGCAATTATAATTAAAAGTTAAACCTGATAAGAGGGAAACTTTAAAATACAGGTTATATAGGTTGTATTATTCTTAATCCAGTGCTGACAGTCAGCTACAAAGAAAAACAATTCCTGTGCTTACGATGTCTCTGTATTAAATTTAAGGTCTGTGAAGTAATAAGTAGAGCTCTCACACCTGGAGTGTAGACCTTTATAAAACCACAGCTGAGGAGATTATGTAGACAAATTCTGGGTAGTTCAGGGCAGTAGATTCAGCCTCTTTTGATGAAGATGACAACTCAAAAGCACAGCCCCTTCCGTCATGAAGACTGAAAAGCGTTCTTTGCTCCCCATGATTTTTCCTCACAGTAGTCCTTATTCCTTTTAGGAGATTTCCAAGGATTTGTTTTTCAGTATTGGCTACTGCTCGTATGAAATACATTATCAATCAGAAGGATCATAAGCTCTGATATTAACCTGAAGGACAGGGCAGGCAAAAAAAAAAATCTCAAAAGTGTCAAACCTGAAAGGGAAATAGTTTATTAACATGTCTCTTTCACTATGGATCACATTTAAATGTTACAGCAAACATGTGGCCTTACATGTTTGCTTGTGATGACTTTTTGAAATGCAGGCATGATGCTTCCCTAAACAAAGTAGGTGTAAAATTTCAACAAATGTCAGAGAATTGAAAAGATTGGGAAGTTTAGAATCGGTCACTCTGAAAGAACAGAGAAGTCACAAGACTAAAGGTTTTTCCAAAGTTTTTAAAAGCACCTTCTTTTTTTAAGGTAACTGAGGATAGAGGTAAGAAGCCATGAGGTCTTTGAACTTGTGTGGACAGCTTCAGGCAAAGACATTCGGGGAACATTGTCATAGAGCTGGATGATTTCATGCCAGTGAAGGTTATGAACTCCGGAGCTCAGATACAAAGTAGAGGGAATGCTGTAATTGGCATGCACATCCTAATGGCAAGCAGGTAATCTCAAGTGTAAGGAACTGTGAGACAAGGTAAGAGGTTTGAAAGCGGCAGGGATGAAGTAAATGAACAATAGATAATAGTGAGGATTTTGGGGGGAATTGTAAGGAATGTGACATCAGCAACTGAAGTAGAAAATTTTAATCCTTTTAATTTCTAGATCAAAATCAGTTTACAAACATAGGATGCATTGATCTTAAGGATACCCAAAGACTTCCAAACCATAAGTAAACTTTTAAAATATATGCCATGGTTTGTGTCCTAACGGGATGTGTAATGTTTCCTAGGTTATGGTGCCCTGGGAAAGGTGTTTGTATGGATACTTAAAGATGGTTCAATGTGATGTTCCAGCTTACACTGCTGACAGAGAACTTTGGTTATCTCAAACAGGGCCATGGCCCTTCCTATAGAAATGTTTGAAAACAAGTTGCAATAGCTTCTCTCGCTTATTTTTTCCTGAAGTGAATTTCAGCCATTGTATTTTTATGACTTCTTTTTGGAGAAGGGAAAGCATGAAATCGCAACATGGAGACAGGTATTGCACTAGAAGAACCAGATAAACTGCTAGATAGTGCAAACAGCGCCTATGAAATCTTCTTTTGTTTGATTTTTCTTTTTTTTGATACAGGGCTTCTCTGTTTAACTGCCCTGGCTGTTCTAGAATTCCCTCTGTAAACCAGGCTGGCCTTGAACTCACAGAGATCTGCCTACCTCTGCCTTCCCAAGAGCTAGGACCAAAGGCATGCACCAGCACCGTCCGGCAGCACCCATGAAATCTTTTTTTTTTTTTTTTTTTTTTTTTTTTTTTTTTTTT